AAGAAACATAGTTATTTCAACAAAAAACCATCAAATTTGAAATGTAATGCAGGGAATTCTGGGAATGTCAATTTACGGATATTCACTGTAAATTATACAGTCTTTTTCACTTCCAAAAACAGTATAATACCGTAAAATTAATGTCCAATATGTAATGTCCAATACAGTTTTTCACCGTATATAGTAGGGGACTTTACCGTTAACCATTTAACAGGTTTTTACTGTAGCATTTTTACAGTCTTTTACCGTTAAATTCACGGTCATTTTTTACATTCCATACCTGAGACCTAGTTTCCATTGGTTAAACTTCCCGACATTGTCAAATGATGTCCAGTAGCTTTAGTCTTAAGTGGCGTGTTACTGTGGATTATCTCAAGATTGTGTTATGTTATGTGAATTGTTTGAGTTGAGACCACCTGCTCTAACGAAATTCGCAAAGTCACAAACCAAAATGTGGTGCAATACATCATGAACATACTGTTTACATGTACATCTGTGGTGCTTTTTCATACAAAACCTCGGTATAGTTTGATCTCTAACTGAAACAAAATAGGCTGTTTGTGTTCTGCTATAATTGAGACTATAGACTGTAAAAACAAAAACAAAAAAAATGGACAATGTGTCTCCACTTCCGTCCACCTTAGAAAAGTGAAGCCAAAACATCTCAGTATGGCCTCCATCATCTTGTGAAAATGACGTCATTTGGCGCATAAGTTTGCAGAGTAGTGATGCATTTGGAACCAGAGTCTGCACAGTACTGATCTTAAGGTGGAGCTGTGGTCTCAAAGTCCCGCCCAACCTCCCGCAGACCCAATCACAAGCTCACAATCATGACACCACACCCTGTTTATATAGCATTAAATAACTAACTAAAAGCAAACTTATTAGAAAAACAAACACCTGAGCATACATTGGCATGACAACAAAATACCTAAAATAATGAAAAACAACTTTGGGAAAAAATTATTTGAAGTGTAGTTTGATTATTTAGTTTGTTTATTATTTTTATTTATTTATTTATTTCTTTTATTTATTTTGGCTCACGTCCCATTTGTTTACATGGAGAGGGCGGGGTATTTGACCTATATTGCAGCCAGCCACCAGATGGCGATCAAAATGTTTTGGCTTCATTTTTTAGGTCATGTTCGGCACACTTGGTTTAGATATTTTCAACGATATTTGACACAGATTACATTTTCAAATAAAGAAGTATTTTTATCACATTATGAAAATGGCAGCAAATTTAAAAGCACTTTTTAAAGTTAGACATATGCTATATATCCACTGCAAAGATGAGCTTCTAAGCATCAAAAGCAAGTGGTTCCATAAGACTCAATAGCTGCTTCAGTCAGTTTAGTGTGTGGGTTATTGAGAATTGCTTCGACGATTCAGTAAAAGTAGTTCACTAACTTCAACCAATTCAATAAGGTAGTTGTGTGTTCCCTCGCTAACTATTACAACCAATTCATTCAGTGAGAGAGCTGTTAACTCAAGAACCACATGACTGATTCAACGAGTGAGTTATTGATTAAAAAAGGCTTTGAGTGATTCAAAATTTCAAGCTCAATAACTGCTTTCCCCAATTCAGTGAATGAATTTTTAACTCAAAAACTGCTTTGACTGGTTCTGTAAGTATGTGAGTTTATTAGTCAATAATTGTTTCCATTGATTCAGTCAGTGAATAAGTTGTTGACCGATTCAGTGAGTTCATTTTGACAAAACCCAACTCCTCGTTTCTTATTCAGGCAGATTTACAAACAAGTCATTCAACCCGACTTGCAAACCCACTTAATCACGATTAATTACAATTTATCATTATCACAAGCCATTTATGCATTTACAATAGAGTTACTTTTAGCTGTCTGCAGTCACAAATGTAGTACAGGGATCTAATAGCTATCTAACAGCACAAAAGTGCATCTACTTACTACACACAAAAAAATGCAGGTATATACAGTACTCTACAGTAGGCTGTTATTTATTATGCACTCCATATCTGAGAAAGAACAGTGTGCTAGATGTAGGAAGGGAATAATTACTGCTGCCCACACACTTTTATGACTCTAATATGCTTCCGTAATATTCATCTCTAAAACTTTTGTGAGGCCACTTTTGTATCAGCTGTGAGACCACACTGAGCTGTTTATTAGCAACTGCAAATTTACGCAGTGAACAAAAGTTGTGTGTTTTAAATGGTGAATGGAGAATTACTGTAGTGTATGTGAATAAGATGTTGTATCTATCTGTCTGCGGTGCTGTGCAGCTTGTCGGAGGCAGCTTGTAGTCTCAGTATGGGGCAATGTTGAGTGTTTTATGATTTAGCAGCTTGATAATGTCACAGAAATCAGTCATCTCAGAAGTGCTCTGTGATCCGTCAGCCTCACCGGGAGAACAGCAGCCCTGCGTACCCCCCATGAGCTCTTCTGCATTACAATTCCACGACAACCTGAAGAGTGCGGGTTACACAGAGAGGACACATCTCACTGACAATTACTCTGTCCTCACGGTGTGGTGTAGGAAGCGACACACACCTCATTTACGTGACGGCTCTGTTCTGGCTCCCCTGTCGTCTCCTGGATGACCCCTAAACCGATGGAATGTGGTGATCCGGAAAAAGTTGGCAGTACTGACTGCATCATCTCGAATAAGACAGTTCCTGTGACCCCATTCTGACCCAATCAGACTAATTCATCTGTTCCCACTGAACCACGAACGCATTGTTAAACACTTCCTGATAACCAAGTACTACATAATCTTGATAACCACTTCAATTGTTTGGTGACTTTGGTGAATCCATTGGCTAAAAGCAAATCTATTAAATAAAAAAAAATAATAAAAATAAATACATACTTACATAAATTCAAGGTTACTCAGCTCAAATTTGGTCTCAAAAGTCTGGTCTCAGCTCAAGTCCAGGCTTGTTTAGTCTACCCACATTTACATTCATTTTTGATGTTTTCTATACAACCATTCACAGATATTGCTGCACTGTTTTTTGAATGCATAAATTTCTCTTCCAATCTATTGCTCATTTTAGATTTACTTGCTTCCAAACAACATAAAAACACAGACATGGTTGTTTTATATGTCTGTCAGACGTCTCTTCCTCTCTAAGTGGGCAGAAAAAGGGGCAAAATGGACATGCAAGTCAGAACTCTGGCTTTGTGAGAAATAGCTATTTATCATCTTTAACCAAATACAAACCATGTAAAACTAGCCAAGCAACCACCTTAATCTGGCTTTACCTGAACTGTTTGGTTAACGGGTCCTGTGTCAAAAACACTTGATCCAAAGTGCGAACAAATGTCCTTCAAATAACCTAAACAGTCAACAGCTGCAGAATAATTTGTTTCTGAAATTACAACAAATAGATTCATATACGACGAACCAACAGGAACCCTGACATAACTTATTTTATTTGTAAAGGTCTCTTTTATAATGCAGCTTTCTCGTTCACTTGTGAAATATATATTTCTCCCAGTGACAACAGCATCCATCAGTTGTCAGGCTGACGGAAGGCTGGGAATTTGGGAAGTGCAGCGATGTTTCAATGATCCCTGTTCAATTTCTGTTTGGCCGGGGTCCCTGTCAACTCTAACTGAATAGAGACATGAATCATTGGTGAGATGTCTAGGTCGCTTTCAATGTTACACAAGACTCCAACACACAGTCCTTGGCTTGTTAGGCCCCAGGAAATCAAATCGGGTCCTAAATGCTGGTTAGTGCTGGTCTGGGGCAGGTCTAGCATGTGGACCATCAAAACCCAACTGGAAAAGCTGTTGGACCAAGGTAGTCTTGAAAGTTTCGACCTTGCAGAGTCCAAAACACACTTTATACGGTTGACTAGCAATGATCTTTGCAACAAGATAAGAAAGATGACTGTTGAGTGTGAGCAAACAGAGCTAGTCAAGTTAAGTCTGGCCTTATGATTGAACCGTGGTCCAAAGCTCAGAACAAAAAAGGCATATTTAAGTCAACTCATTATTTGAGCCACTCACTCTGAGGTCAAACTTCTAAAGTTAGTTAGAAGTAAAACAAGAACTCATTCACTCCAGTATGACGAGAACACAGATTTGTGAGAGTGAGTTTGTAAGTGCTCAGCATGCGTCTGTGAATTGGCATGGGATTGTGTGATTCAGCCTCATTCTCACCTTCGCTCCTGTAGTCCTCCTGTGAGCTGAGGGCCGAGTATCTGTGTCTGGAGAACGGAGGCCAGTCCTGGCTAGATGATCCCACTCCATGGTTGTTCCTTAACCTCATCCTGGAGTTGAGTGAGGAGGATGAGGAACTGTCTGCTTTCATCCGCAGCACTGCAGCATATGACACAGGTCTCCCGGCAACGGCTCTAGCAAAATCTGAAAATAAGACAGAGAGGGCTGTTACATCTAACAATTTAGACTCATAATGCCAGGCTCTAAGATATACTTGCATGGATTGCTATTGCTCATGTTTAGGGTTAAGGATTTAAACAAACTTCTAGACCTACGGTACGTATTAAACTTCGGCACTTTACTGATTTCAGCAATGTTTTTGTTAAATAACTCTCACTGTACAAGTAAATTGTGTGTGATGTAAAGCCAAAGCTCATGATTTAGGTGCTCACACTATACAGGTCCGATCGTCAAGCTGCGACTTGACTACTCAAATTATATGTGTGAAATAAACATGTGGAAACCCGGAACTGTGGAGCCTCCATCGCTCCCATCCATACCACACATCGTGTCACCATGGTTTAATTTCTGCTTTTGCGTAGGCACAAAGAGGGAAAAAAATATTGAGTTTAGAGCAATCGGTTTGTTGCTCTGCTTCAACAGTGTGATACCCTCATGAGGGGCGACCAGAATGACTTACATGTCAGAACTTCATCTGATTGGCAGTCGTGGGAAGTTAATTGTCTCTCGTTACAACAACACAACAAATGACACGCAACAAAGTTGAAATTCAGCCCGTACAACTCAGAAATCTGTTCAAAATCGGACAAAAACTGCACAGTGGCTTAACTCATCCCACACATGTGCTACATACATGAAATATTCCTCAAACCATGCAGTGTGCTAAGGAGTGTGTGAAAGCAGTCAGACTTACAGACAAACAATTTTTATTTGGTGGACAAGATATAGATATAAAAATCCTACAGAAACTGAACGAGGGAATAAAATATCAGAATATCCAGAGATTTGAGCGTTGACTCATCATCACATCTGGCATTGCTCTAGAAACATCTCAGAACATCTTAGCAAATAATTTCTTCTGAAAATGTAAATATCCAATTACTGCAGTAACAAACTCAGTCATTTTAGAATATTAACATTGTTTTATTGCTTTTCCAAGTTTTGTTACCGTGTAATTATACATTTAAGTACTGAGTAATATTAATTAACTACATGTACTTACATGGTTATGATTAGGGTTTGGCTTAGGGTTACTTGCGTGTAATTATGCATTGCAATTACAAATCTAATTTATTGTTATTATAATAGTAAGTTAATGTAATGTGTAACAAGGACGCTGTAAAAAATAAAGTGTTACCATTTTCTTAAATAAATAAATTGAAATTCTGTAGTGTATTACATGTTTATATTTATATATAAAGTAATTATCAATTTTATTAATGTATTTATTCACTGGAACAACTGATCTGCCAGATAGGGTTAATTTATGCAAGTCTTTTTTTTATCTGAAAGACAAATGCGCAATTGAGAAACAAAGGAAAAGAAAGGTTGACAGTTTGACACCTTGTTCTTATGTTGTTGCTTTTTTCTCATCACGGGAAAATTAGAGTTGCAAAAAGTTATATGTGTCATGAACATTGTGTGAGTGGCATTTGCAATAGAACATGGCAGAGTGAAATTAATTATCTATTATATCACGTCAGTCAATGCTGTGGATTTACAATTGCGACAAATTATTCTAAATTGCCCATTTGTGTTAAAAACAGTGCCAAAAGAGGAAGGACTTATTGAATATCTTAATTAAATAGTCATTATACACCTGCTGAAATCTCCTCATTCTGCTGTTTGCCAATTAGAACTTTAGCAAAGTGACAAACCAACGCACCAAGCCATCTGACTAAACTCACAGATGTGACGCTCAGTAATGAGGACAACCCCACAAATGACAACTTAAATGCTTCAGTCTTCGCATGGCATGGAATCGTTTATATACCGTCTCGCCCGGAGAGAGGGGAAGTAACCTCTAGAAATTAAAGCCGCCCAAATCATGGATCTGTGTTTGTGCAGAGAGGCACTTGAGGAAAAAAGTGAGCTGACATTTATGAGGTCCTAATTAAAGTCAGGCCTTTTAATACTTGCAAAATATGACCTTTGCTGTCCTGAACCTTTAGAATATAGCTTCAAAACTGGAGACTGAGAACTACACTGAGGGCTCCTTTTCTCACATAGAAGAAAAAAAAAATCAGTCTCAAATGTGCATGCATCCCTATTCAGGCAGACAAAAAAATCCCACAAAGAAATGTTACTCCCAGCTTTCAGATGCTTAAAGAAGAGAGGAAACTGATCCAAAAATGGCAGACAGGTGTCTAGACAGTTGCCTACACAGAAATCAACAGAAAAAGCGAATACCGAATTTGATGGATAGAAAGATGAATAGATGGATGGCTGGCTGAATGCTTAATGGACAGGCAAGCGGTGAGAATTGTGTGAAAGAGACGGGCAGGAGAGGGAGGAGTAAAGAAATCCAGACATACAGATCCAGTGCTTTACCTCCATGTGAAAGAGGATCTCATGGGCTAGTTACTATGTTGGGAGCTTTAAATCGTAGCATATGAAATGCATTTGATTAACATTCATGGAATACCTTTAAAAACTTCAACAGAAGCATGTAGGATTGTGTACGACATTCGATTTGACTCTTTCTGAGGTGATTTGTTGTGGATTTTGAACTTTTTAAGACCTGCTTGATTTTGTGTAATTAAGCTTTGAAGTCGAAGACATTTTTAATTATGGATGGACTGTGCTTTTTTCGGGATCTGAGCAAAACAAACCATCTTGGGATGACTAAGAAAAGGCAAGAAAATGGCTAAGGGATTTGAACAGCAGAAAACTGTGGCATAGTCACTCCTGTCGTGAGAGGGTGAATGTGAAAGAATCTGAACTGCTAAAAAAAAGGGGATTCGGATAGGACTAGTTTTCCTACTTTTGGTATTTTAATTGCATCTCAATTTCTCAAATCTATGGAATTTTACAGACGTCGTGTGAGAAAAGCAGAGCAAATTACCTACTGTTTTTCAGAACTCAATGGAACTCAGTGGTTTTCTGAGAAAGTTAATCCTATCCGAGTGTTAATGTCTGATATTGTATTACCTCAACATTTCTGCTTGCGTGTTTTGATCTACCTGAGCTACCATTTGCGCACTAATCTTCCACATACTCTACCGTTCAATATTACAGAGGCTCTGAAGGGACATGGTGATGCTAAATTAAATAAGCTGAGAGGAAAATATATGTTTTAAAATGTTAGCATTCCCCTGAGAAACACAAATGTTTTACATCCGAACACAAAGTTTCTAAGGGGAATGCAATACTTTTGTGAAAGAACGCAAATGTTTTGCAAGCAAATATAAAGTTTCTCAGGGCAGTCTAATACTTTTGTCACAGTTTCGGTTAATTTGGACTGATGCCATGTCCACACGTACATGGGTATTTCTATAAACTGAGTTTTTCCTTCTTCTGTAAAAAAAAAAAAGAAATCTCCATCCACATGAAAACGCAAAAGCATGCTATGAAGCACTGTCAAGAGAATGCCAAGCCAACAGGTTGCGATATAATCTCAACCGTAAAGCCATGTTGGCCAATCAGAAGCCTGAAAAAGTTTCCAGTAGGCGGAGATAACTGCGCATGCTCCGACTTCACAAGCCAACATCTCCGGTTTCGCTGTCTACACGATAACACTGCAACCGGAGTTTTTGAAAATCTTCACCCTGGCAGCAGTTTTCAAAAATGTTTGGTTTCAGTAACCTGGTGCTGCGTTTGCGTGTGGACGAACGGCCAAACCGCATAGAAAAAGCTGTGGTTTTGAAAATACCCGCGTTCGTGTGGACAGGGCCTGAGTTTGCACCGTTTTCTCTAAATTGTTGTCATGGTTTCTGATTCAAGTTCGTCATTATGTTCAGGTGTGTCTTGTTAATTATCCTTGTTTTGTCTGTGTATTTAAGTTCCTGTCTGTTTAGTGTGAGTTTGTCAGGTATCGTCAGCGTCGATGTATATGTGTCTTTCCAGCCCTGCTTGTGTGGATTACCTTATGTGGCTTATATTAAAGACTGTTAAACCTTCACTTTCATCTTTGTGCATGTTCATCTACACACCGTTCTTGACAACTTTTTTGAGAGAACACTCCCCCCCCCATTACCATGTCCCCCTTAATAATAAAAAATAAATAAATAAAAAATGAACAGATAAATAAATGAATAAATAAATAATAAAAGCATGGCCCAATTGTGAAAACTGACTCAGCATCAGGTAATATACCTTTCTAGACTTTTCAACACTTATTTGGGTTTATTATAAGCAGCCACTTCTATAAACTCATGTTAAATTTATCAAAAATAAAATATCAATAAATATTTTAAAGAAAGACATATACATCATATATGATGCATGCAACCACATCTTATGACCCTTCTGCAATGCCCACATTAAAAAAAAAAAAAAACCTCTTTGTAACACCTGTTTACAAAGACAGGTAGGATTTACAAAGACAGTTTAGATTTAGGTTCTATTTCGGTTCTTTTTTCTCTAACATCCACGTTTTCCAGAGCTTTCTGCAAAACGTCTCTTTCTATAGTTCAACCCATTCACCTTCTCTCTGGCTAACTTTTTTCTCTAGGGCGGAGCTCCCGATCATCTCCGGATCAGCTGATCCGTGGATCGTCGTCTTCAATCCATTATTTCATTGGGTAAGATTTACGGCAACATATTTCTATTACATTTGTATGAACAATGTAACTTTAAATTTTATTTTATTGAAATAAACTTTTCTTGGACAACTAAGAATTTGCCTATTTATTTCCCTGCACTGTGATTATCAATTATGCCTTACTTTGACCTGGGCTACATCATACTCCTACTTCTGTAATAAACACAGAGATGTTCCTGTCCGAATAGGGCTAAAGATCGAGGTGCCCAATCCTGTTCCTTAAGGTCCACCTTCCTGGTAAGCTCAGTTCCAACCCTAATCAAACAAACCTAAACAAGATTTTCAGAAACACTACATAACTGCAGATAGGTGCTTTGGAGAGAGGTTGGAACTGAACTCTGCAGGAAGGTAGTTCACCCAGAACTGGAATGGGCACCCCGTTCCAAGAAATCATTGGTTGTTTTGAAGGGATGGGCAACTT